AATAAAGTAAATTAAAAATTATTTACTATACTTTAGAACATGGTTTTGAAAGCATAATCCCAGGAGCAGTAATATTGGTATTATCTGGAAAATAACTGGACCTGTCCTTCCCTATTAAAAGCCTTGCATGGGACCCAGCAACCACTGCTTTAGCAAGTCCTCCAGAGAATTTTAATGCACATCCAGTTTGAGAACCATTGCTTTTAAACCTGCCAATATTATTGCCCAGTAGAAAGAATCCTTGACACAGAGTCGGGAAAGCTAGACTTAAGCCCAGCAAGGGGATGAGACTGAGTTACATGGATGTGGGCTTGGGCTGACTCATACTTTTACCAGTCAGATCATTCTTCCTGAGGAGGAAAAAGGATAGGGGCATGTCAGTAACCACTGTTATATTACCTGGAAGCAAGGTGATTTCCACCCTACCCCCTGAATCCTCACATCATGAATCCTCAGAACCAGCCAACCCAAAGACTAGCAGATGGAATTTAATTCTTCCATTCTTAGAAGATAATTGAACAAGACAATGAGACAAATAATGCATTCTTCTTTCTTATCAAGGAAGCCAGTTTCTCCCTCACAATGCCACCCACCCTGCAAGAGCATTTGACTTTCTTACAAAATTTGTCATTGTCCAAAATACTATAAATGATCCATCCCTGCAGCTACAAATACAACTACTACATCTTCCCCTTTGATTTGGATGGTTCTTCCCATCGTAACCATAAACCGCCCACACAGGACACAGTGTTTCAATAAACACTAAGTGATGCAAGATGACCCATTTCAATATAATGGGTTTCTTAATGAAGCCCATCACTAAACAAAGCAACAGCAAAATTTGGTAGAAAACAAATAACTTCACTTTGCCCAAAACAAACTGTCTTATGAGGTGAATGTCTTTGGAAACTCTTTGAATGGGTAGGAACTGGACCAATGAGATGAACCTAAAACAGTAAACCTTAAATGTCTTTCTGGTGTCTGAGTTGGCAAACAGCTTTGCTTGTTGAGAAAATTCACACTGAACCACTTAATGTTGCTCTGGAATTGCTTTCTAATAGAGTTTTATCTACAGACTACAGAGGTTTATTGTTTTAGAAATAAAATTATACTCAATTGTCCCAGAAGGAATTTCTCCCAGAAGGTTTGGAAGGGATGGGGGGGGGGGAGGGAATCTCTTCTTTAGGAGCTGTACTAACTAACTACATGTATGGGTTACTTTAAATCTGAAACTGGATATGTTTTAATAACCTCATAATTATTGTGAGAGAACATGCTGGAAATCTTATTACTCTTTCAACCATTAATTCACCCACCACACAGGTATGGTGTGACTGCTCAGTACAAGGCCCAAGGGTCTCCTTTAAAGAATTTGCATTGGATAGGTTCTCCTGGTTTATTTGTTTGCTATATATATATATATATATATATATATATAAGCCACCACATCAAGTTCTGAGATACAATGGTGAAGTAGACTTAATAAAGACTCAACATGTAACAGAAACTTAATTCTCCTACTCCTTGCCTTATCTTTATGGAACTTCCAATTAAAATATCCTTCTCTTGTTCCATTAGCATAGTCCAGGGACTGGGAAGGAAATTCATGAGAAGTTACTATGCCATCAGAGTGATTAAATCTTTCTGTTCTCTATCTCCACCATCAAAGTTTCAGTTCTCATTGCTTAATTTATAGTTTCTTACAACCTCAGTATAGACTTACATTCTCTTACAGCTTCCAAGTATTATATGCCACAGTCACAATCATATTTGCCCCTTCTTTGACCACATTATCATATTTTCAAGCTTCCCACAATACAGTCTATGTTAAAAAAATATTGCCCTACATTTTCCACCTAAAATGGGGCGCTATAGTAAAACCACTTGCATGCTTGTCTTAGCCCACTCATCTTCTGCCCTGAAAAGCTTCTGAGTTTCTTTAAAATCATGCAGAATAACACATTCCACAGGGTAGAAGTTTGCTAATGAACATGAGTGGTGTATTAGTCTGAGTCTCCTCTGCCTTAGATGAGAAAACTGAGAGGCTAAGAATATAGTGGGCTAATAGTGGACTAATGATGGTACATATTGGCATCTAGGGTGAGAATCCATAGTTTTGACTTCTGATCCAAGACTCTTTCTATGTAAACCTGCTACCTCAAATATAAACCTTGGAAAAACACCTCAAAAGTGTTGTTTCATCCATAATCTTATTGGACTTTTTCACCTGGATGTTGGTTTATGATCTAACCTGCTCAGGTATCTTTGTTTTGGCACTTCTTAGACATTCCTTTGTTTATCCATTATTAAGGACATGTGTATTCACTGCCATCTATAATCAGCATATACGAAATGCTGGATACATGTTACAAATACAGATTATGTGGTGTGTACTCTCAAGGAATCTACTGGGATTGTAGGCAGTTATCTAGTAAATAAACATGTAATTACAAGGTTCAGTGCTTATGAAATACATAAACATCATGAAGTGACCTGGGGTGGTGTGGAATTGCAGGATTGCCAGGAAGGGCTGAAGAGTAACATTTTAGCCAAGAACAAAAGAATCAGAAGAGCACATTTTTGTGTTACTTACTCCCTTAGCTACAATCCTTGGTCCAAGCTCACATGTAGACATGAAACAATTTCCAACCCACCATATCACAATGTAGCATGCCTGTCATGAATTTGTCATCTGAGATCCACTTTTTAAAAAGTAAAATCTTCTACTAGAGTTTCCCTCCTTCGAATTCAAATTCTGGCCAATTCCCCCGACACCCGTAACTGCTTAGTTGCTAAGAAAACATTCCTATAGGTTATATTACTATTTACTAAATTCCCTCAGGGCAGAGGGCCTATTGTTTAGTACCTATTTGAGATAAAGAATTGCACAAACACTTTATAAGTAGAATGTGAAAAATCTCAATCCTACATGTCACTGTAGCTTTTTTCCCCCCACAACTGTAACTTACTAACACATATCTTTGTGTCCTGAAAAAACTAGAGGATATCACAAGATTATATAAGTTGCTTTTTTATGTTTAAAAAAAAAACTTTCATTTATTCAGTTGTCAAACATTCAGTAGCTAAATGTCAAGCACTGAGCTAGACATTGGAGGTATAGGAAGGTGAATAAGACACAATCCCTTTCTGACCAGTGGAGAAAAACACATAAGCCTAGTAAGAGTCATGGAGGGGAGATCAGAGAAGACTTCATCCACCAAGAGAAGACTTGAAGGATAACTAGCACTTCCAAACAGAAGAACAGTAAGGCAGAGAGAGCATAATTGCACATAACACCGTGTTGCACACTGTGAAACAAGTTAAGTGGAGATGGCCTTTGACCTCCAGAAACTTCACATCAAAGGAAAAAGTGATTCAGTTCAGGAGTCAAAAAGTAAGTTAAATAAATATGGTCATTTTTAATGAAAATGAGCAATAGGCTAACGAAAGGGCAGGTGTTTTGATGAACACAAGTCAAAAGGAAATTAAGGAAGGATTTTTGCAGCTGGAAATTGCTAAAACATTTCAGGTGGTGGTACTAGCCAGCAGGCTTTCTGAAAGAAGAGGGTTTATTTGTTGACCCAAATTGAACAACTGGGATCATTTGGTTTCATTTTGTTACTGTGCCTTTAGATCATCTCTAATTACTCTTCAAAAAACTGAGAATCTGCTTAATAATGACTAGTATAAGATGTTAAACTGGATGGTACCTTCCCAAGGCTATCTTCCCTATAAATCCTCTAAGATATTTTGCAGTAAGCAAAAGGAATTCTGCTAGTACCTATGAATTTGTGTTTCAGTGGTTAGTATTCTTACTGTTAATCCATAAGATTTCTTTTGCTTTCATTTTTACCTTAACTGTCTAGTTTTTATTTTAAAGCTTTGTGAGTTTCTAACATCCCATCATTGTTTCCTTTAACTTTTCCTTTAACTTTTCTAATTTCACTTCTTTATAACATAGAAAGGACAGTTGATTGAACATTGTAGTGTTTCCAGTACAGAAGAAAACCCTATGACATGACCATAATTCCAGAAGGCATCTTTCTGATAAAAGTCAGTTGGAGAGCTTTATCAAGAAGAAAGGTCTCAATTTGTAGATTTTATTGCATTTTTATTGGGTAGAAAATTCTACCCAAGATACTACACACAAAGATATTAAATACTAAGTCAAGTACACACAGACACAAAGCTTATTAATACATATATGTAGGAAGTAAATACAGGAATTTAGGGAGTAAGTGGTGTTACTTGGCAATGTGGAGATTCTCACTTACAGAAATATTTCATCATCTGGAGTTTGTTTATTCAGCCACCCCAGCTATAAGGAGTGCCTTTATCAACCAGAGAGGGCTACTACGAGTGATGACATAGGTAGAACCCCACATTGGAAGTAGACCTCTTGCAATTGCTCAGGCTCTCCCCCTGCATCTGTTTGCCCTTACTTGTGACGCTCTCCAATGTCCTTGATCTCTCACTTTCTATGGCTCTGCAAATGAGAAGTAAACATATAGAACAAATTAAGGAAAGCCACCAATAAAGGAAATGGGAGGTGGCTAACATCCTGGTAGTGAGAAAAAAAGACTATCATATTAAGGGAACTAAAAATTCAAAAACCCTCATTCTCTGAGGCCCTGTTACCTTATCAATTACTAGAATTGGAAAAGATTAGAGTTCACTCTGTGGAATCAGACTATTGCCTGAGGAACAGGGGCTCGTTTCAGGTGGCTTTTAAATGACTTCATGTTTCTGTTAATCTTAGGAGGGAAAACTTCAGTTTTGAGAAAGATTTGCTTATGAAAAAAAAAAAAAAACACTGCCCTTATGTGTGTTAAATGTGCTTTGTAAAGCAGAGGCAGTGGTGTTGGGGCATCACCACATCCCCACAGGCTCTTCTGCGGCCTGTGCATGCGCTTGTGCGCGCTGGCTTATTCTCAGTGTCTTCGGAACAACCTTTTGGCCAGTCTACTTGTGTTTTTACCTGTCTCTTTCTCTCTTTCTAGCCGGAGACCACCCCCTTCACCAACTCGTCCCACTATAATACGTCCACTAGAATCCTCCCTGTTAGACTAAAACGAAGTGTCTGGCATGGCAATTAATTACTAATTGAGTTATGGGAAAGCAACACATTTGATAAGCGCTGCAGTAAATCATGAGTGTCGCATGTGGGACATCAGTAGGCAAGTAACCTGTTTCACTAATGCGTTCATCACTCATCTCCATTGCTCATGACGTGTCAGACCTCGGGGGTTTGACTCTTGAAAACTGCTGAACCATCAAGGCTTTCTATGTTGAATTGACCAAGGTAGGTTTGTACCGCAACCCTACACTGGGGACCATTTGCCTGCCCTGGCATATGTTTGAGTTGCTTTGGGTAAGCTTCGCAGATTACCATCAGGTAACCCACTAAATATAATTTTTAAGTGATATGAGGTGGTGAGCTTGCACCAACAAAGCCATAAGTATTTATTCTCCCACATTCCATTTTGGCTGTCAGAAATTATGTTGCCTATTAATAAAGTTTCTGCCTGCCCCATGGTTACCTATGTTTTAGTTCCTTTCTCCTTCCTTTTAATTTCAGGAGACTACTAGGAAGTGATATTTTTAAATTAAAATTCCTTAAGAATAAAAGTTTTCCAGAAGCACAAGATAGTTTACAAAGGGAAAGTTAATGTATTGCTTGCTCTAGAGAGCTTCTCATGCAAATATGTTTTTGCTTCATGCTAGAAACATATTCAACAGCAAGTTAAAACTTTTTTTGGTACTCAGTCAGTTTAGCTAATTAGCCTCAGAGCTCAAGGAAGAAGCAAAATATCACATCTCTGAAAGTGTCCGGGAAAATGTAATTTCTTTACTCACTTACTTATTCAGCTTCTTGTAGGTTACAGTAAAGGCTGACATAGAAAATATTTAACTTTTCATATTGATCTAATTTTATGCATGACTAACTACACTTTAACACTAACTCCAATTTATTTAATTTATTTATTTGATTGGAAAAATATTTCTCTTGCCATACTAATATGCAATTCCCTTATGCAAAAAGTTATTCTCCCTTTAAAACAGGCGTAATATAACTTTCTCTCCACTCTGGGTTTTCTTAATAAATACTGAGCCTTCCCATAGTAAGGCTAACCATATTTAAAGAATGGGGCCTGGAATGGAAAGAAAAGTCATCTAGGGGAGACGCTGTGATTTAAAAGCAAGGCTACAGGTTTTACAGTTATACAACTTCAGGTCTTCATGCAGGTCATTCCCGAGAACAGCATTAAGACAAGTCGAAAGCAAATTGGCAATTTATAACATTTCCAAAATTTACTAAAGCAGCTTAGCCAGGGGTTAATAGTTCAGCCTTGAGACTGGGTTTTGGACTACCTAGCACCAGATGATTAGCATGTAGGAAACAAGCAGAAGCCAAGTGGGATTTTGTCTGCTAACTGTTCCCAGACAGCAGAGCAAACATTCATGGAGCAGTGGCGTCCCATGACGCTGGTTCATATTCTACAGAAGTACTTCAGGTTTCACCAACAGAAATGTCTCCCTTTGAAAGCAGCAAACATGATTTGTATGTTAACTTTAATTTCCTGTGCAGTTTATACCCACAGCAGACACCCATAAAGTATGAAGTAAAAGCTTTTAACCATTATTAAAAAGAGAACTTGCCAAGTTGAATGGCATTGTATTGAACTTGCTCTAAAGGGTTGAAGTTAGCCCACTTATCATAGGCAAAAGTTAGAAAATATAAGATTTACAAAGGAGCACTTCATCTTTTGATTTAGATGTGATTTTATAAGGGACAAAGAGACAGCACCCAGAATCTCCTCATATCTCATTTTCCTCATTGGTGGAAATACATTTGAATCTTTGAGAATGGAATAGACATGCAAGATACATATTGCACTTTAGAACAGGCTCGCAGCTAAATGGAAATATGTTAAGTAAACATCTATAGTAAAATGAATAATATTCAGTGAAATCCTTCATAAAATTCTCTTTTTAGGATTCCCTTTGCTTCTTCCCTTGAGTTCTCTAAAATAGGCAGCTAACGGATTATATACTTCAGGGTTTGGCTTTGTGCTAAATGTGGTTTTGCATTTTGCTGTATTTCAAAATTTCCTTCTGTTAAAGGAAAATATTGTGGATAACCACTGGGGCATTCTTAGATCAGCACAAACCATGTCAAAGAAAATTGAAGATTTTTTCCCCAAGTTTCTTTCCACTGACCTTCTGCAGTCATAAACAATGGCATTTGTCATCTTGGGCTTTTGCTCTCAGATTGTAGTCCCACAGCTTCCTTGTCCCATCGTCTCTCTTTGTGGGTACATCTTTGTTCTCTTTTTACCTCTAAGTTACCTCTAAGAACCCAGCCTCCCCAGGAAATTCAGCAATCATGTTGGATAATATTTTCATTTTGCTGCCGTCCTCTATCACAGTAACAGTAGGACTTCCATTTCCCAAAGGATTTGCGTCCTGCTTAAAGGAGATGTCAATGTGAATGAATTTGGAAGATCTAAGATGTGTGTAGTTGGAAGTGCAGCATTCATCTAAGGGCTTACGACGGGAATGTGGCTTATTGAATTTTCTAAGCATTTCCCGTTCCTCTCCTACTCTTTGGTGTGACTTCCTCTTAACTGATTTCTCTGATGTTATCTACACAATAGATGTAGCCCCATCGTGCCTAGTATAATAAAACAATAGATAGAGTGTTCTTAGGATTTGGAACAATAAATTAGATGTATTTATTTGCCAGGTCAACCCATTTTATTGTCACATGCTACATCTTGCATGCTTATGAACTCTGTGAAATAGCCATTTATTCAACTGTGGACAGATTATTGAACTAGTATTGTTTTAGAACTGATATTTTGAGTTTCTGGGAATCACCTACCAAGATTACTCTCCTAAATATTGCTTTTAGCTGTGTTTGTAACATAGAAGAGCAATAGGGTCTGTTTGTTTGCAGATTGCCTAGATGTCCAGATACAAACTCATTGTACTCCAAAACATTACAATGAAAATTTTTTTTGTGATATAAAAGTCTTTTGAAGTTAGAACTTAAAAGTAGCCATAAGATTAATTTTATGACATTTGACTATAGACTGTAGCCATAATTCTCCAATATTAAATGGGACCTAATACCAGTATGTGATAAATGTTCGTGTTTTCTGTATACAAACACATTTTCTATGCATGTGTCTCTATGTATACAATATATGCATAGTAAATTCATCCTGCAAGTATATGTATTTTGTACCCTTTTGAGTAGGTAAGTTAAAAGCACTTGTTAAAATGCTACAAGCATGCATCTAAGTGTATGTGCTTTGTATATCTATGTACATGTATGGGTACAAATAATGCATACATGTGGTTTGTATCTGTGGGTATTGATATAATTTTAAATTGTGCTAAACAAAAAGTAGCTTTGGAAGATCTGCCATAATATGATAACAGTGGTTCATTTCTGATAGCATACATGAGTTGTACAAAATTTTCCAGAGATTTTTAGTAGTCATTCTGAGAGGCACAAAGCTCAGAATTACCACAGTAAGGTAGAGCAAAATCCACAGGCATTTGTATCTAAATCTACAGCAATGCTATCTAAGGAGAAATTGCCTCTACCACTAGAGTTTGATAAGTATAAACTCTGGAAAATCTCCTTTACGTTCTCTGATTAGAATGACTCATTATTCTTGGATAACTACATGTCATAAAAAGCTAATGTGGTCTACACAGTCAATTTTTCTCTGTGCTAAATGTCATAAAGTTAAACAAAGGAACACAATGATGTAATGAAAGTTGGGGATTGTACTGAGTAAAGTTTCTAAAACCCCAAGAACTTTCATTACTGGCATGAAGGTAGATCATCCATTAACTTGTTCAGATAAAGATTTTTCATTTCATAAACTGTATATGAGTTTGACACAATTGGAAAATGACAGAAATCTCCACTACATTCAGATTCAAGGTTTGCTAGTAGGTCTCTGAAGTATAGAACTTGATGATATAAATACATGAAACTCAAGGCATGAGTTCTGTACCATTTCACCAAGAGGACTACTAGCTGTGAGCTCAGAGTTTAATGTGAATGAAGTTAGGTGAGTTTAGAGAAACAATGAGTAGGTCACTAGATTACTTAATCCTTTCTTAAAAGTTCAAGTGTGTCTTTTAGATAATATTAAGTCATTCTGTCTAGTTGGCATGTTTAAAATTATGTGGTGCTCAGTATTGTGAAACTTAAAGGTATTTTGGAGTATATGTAGCATATGCATGGCTATTTGTACATAGATGTGAGAATGTGTGTTTGTGTGAGAGCAATTGAACAAACAAGGCAGAATCTCCTGTTTCAGACTTGTTCATACTGGTATCCTGGTGACACTTTTCTCCTATAAGGTCTGGGCTTTTATACATGACTCAGCTCAAGACATTTCTTTTTAATTTTTACCCTTGAGTTCCTTAAACTTTGCTCATGATATAATGTTTTTAAAACAATGATAAAATTACTCTAACTTCTTGTACTGTCTGTTGCCAATTTGATAAAAGAAAGTATTCCTTTCAACTAGAAATTCTACCATTACTTGATTTGTGTTTAATTTCATATGTACAGCCTGGCTTGCTTATATGTTTCTTTTCTATCCCTTTTTCAAATCAAATTCCTCTTTTACTTTCTGTATGAAGAAAGGGTATACAAAAGCAAAAATCTTGTCATCTCTGTTGATTCCTCAATGAATTTGGGTCAGAATACTTTCCACTGTCTTGTTGGCATTTTCAGGATTTCTTAATGCTGATTTATGGATGGACTCTGTGAGTGGAATTTTTGAAGCAAGTTCCTAAAGCCTGTATCATTCTTGAAAGTCACATGTACCTGTTGTGAAAATGTGATGTTGTATTTCTGAACCTGAAATAAACGATAACATGTGAAGGACTCCCCCCTTCTTCATTCTTGTATATATTTGAGTCATGTCTGTGCATTTCAGGAAGACCTGAGAGATGTAAAACTTGTAAGTCTATTGATCAAATTGGCTCTGAATTACCAATACAGAGGATGGTAGCATTTGGCATTAGTGTAATTAATTTGGGGAAAGGTGAGATTTTTAAAAAATAAGCAAACTGGACAAATAAAAGGCAGGAGAGTCGAAGACATTTTACTCCTGATTTGAAATCATTGTTGGACTAGTTTAAATGAGCACCCAACCTTCTACACCTGAAGGGGTGATGTGATGTTTGCCAAGAAGAACTGTAACATTTGGCCATTAATGAGGAAGTGTTCGTGAAAACCCCTAAGAAGCAGGAGGAGGAAAACTGCTCTGTTGAAAAGTTAGGTCCACAGAAGGCGTTTCTTACAGAGAATAATTGAGTCTCCATGTATTCCTTAGGGGTTAAGGGGGGAAATTATCTTTTTCACTTTCCCTAATAGTCAGAGAATTGAAGAGTGCTCAGTAATTGCATACACCCTTGTCCTGCACTTCCAGAAAATAAAGACTCTTTTGTTATAAGAGTCACAGCTATACATTCAGTATCCCAGATGGTGCATCCAAAAGCAGAAAACCAAAGAGAATGCATACAGGGAAAGGATGTTGGTTTATTTTTGCTCTGTGTTCAGGATACACTTATTGTGAAAATATGCATTGGGAAGACTGTTTTGTTGGCTCACACTTTTCTCATTACTTCTTTCTAATCTATATATCTTCTTGAGTAGAGCCATACATCTTCAAAGAAAATATCTTATTGGAAGAGAGATTCAGGATGAGAATCATTCAGGATGAGAATCATGCTGTCCACTTGTGTTGTATTTTGTAAAGGTATATGAATGTATATTCCACTGCATGATTCTCTATTCAGACATTTCTAATGGAAATTATCAAAATTAAAGAAATTTATTCAACTATGTGGCAAATTTCCACTTGTATTTTTAATATTGTTTCTGGCATCATTATAAGTGTCTGTTTAATTTGTTTTCTCACTTGTGTTTTTCTGCTGGGATCTTTACATTTTATACTGAGAAACAGATCTGCAGTTTGGGCTACATGGACCTCATCCCCCACTTCCTAGTAGCATTCCCATTTTTAAGATCCCTTGTTGGTGTTCTTTCACCCTGGGGCAACCTAATAATTGGAATGCATGCAAGAGATGTTGGCAAAACCACAACCTTAATTCAATGTTCCTCAAAGTGCATTCCATGAGACCTTAATGTTTTACACACACATATACCAAAGGTTTCTTGATTAAATATACTTGGGAAATGATGACTAAAATGACATGTTTCTTTATAGAAGCTTTATTATTAAATTGCACTGTGACTCTCTAAGAGAGGAGGCTTTCTTGAGGCTTTCTTCTCAGACTTTCTTGACCACACTTTGTAGCACCTTAGCGGAGTGTTGTTTGGAATCACATACCTCAGGAAAGTGCTTCATTGGCTTTTGACTAGGGAAGCAGTGAGGGAAGGCACTGGGAGTGATTATCCCAGTCTGCACTGTCATTAGCACAACATTGGATGAAGTCAAGTCAAGAGCAATCAGAACTCTCAGGGCAGGAGTCTCCTGGCACGTTGGTGCTTTCTCCAGGATCTGATCCAAGGAGGAAGGTCACATGGGAACACAGGCACCAACTGATTAGGGACTGATTAGACATGCAGAGAGTCTTAATGAACTTGTGGAGGGCTCAGATAATTTTAAATATTTTCTTTCTCATGCTACGAAAATAAAGGAATGGAACACATTTAAATTAATCACATTACCCCCAGTATGTTATAAAGGAAAGAATCCACACTGATGTAAAATTAAAGATCACCAGAGAATAACTGAGAACTCTGTTCTTACTGTCTTTCTCGTCTCATTTTCCGGAGACTTTGCACTCTGGGCCCTTAGAATGATGGGTGAAGAAAGCAAGCAGGAAATGTTTGTGAGATTGTAACAGAAAAGATTTATAAGAAAAACCTTCTGAGGATCTTGCCTAAGAATTGTTATTGTAAGACCAGATTTCAGTATGAGAGGGAGCCAAGAGAATGTGGGCGATTTATCATTATTATTAATAATTGAATCATTTATATATATGAATTATACCCATGAACCAACCCAGTACTCCCTGCCTCTTTACCTTCCTGTTTTGATCAAACAATTCTACTATGAAGTTATTTTTCAAAAAGCTTAAGAGAGCATAGCCTGAAATGATCATTTCACTGAAGTAGATTGGCTTTACAGCTTATTAGCAACTCAGTATTCCAATTCAGCTCTTCAGCTTTGCTACTAGAGATGGCAGTAGTTTGAGGTACTTTGCTAACATTTCAGGTTAAAAGACCAAATATTTTCAGCTCTTGCCATTAAACACTTAAGTGTTATGTAAGAATATAAAAAATTCAAGGGGTGGGGGGAGAGGGAGGAAATAGTCAAAAGCCAATTGCCCAGATCCAGGAGAGAATGAACTCTGAGCCACTACACAGTGTCATCCACAGCAGTGCTTTTTTGAGGAGAGGAAAATTAGCTACAAGAGGGTGACTGAAAAGCAAAAGAAAGTGGCTGCCGGAGGGGCTACGTGTCACTCTGATGTCTGAAGCAAACAGTCCAGCTGTCAGCGAAATATGTTCTGAGACATAAAGTTTCTGATCCTGTTTCTGGATTAGAACACCAAACAGGAAAGTGCTTTGGCATCTGCTAACAGAATGTCCCTTCAGCACTGTGGACTTGTGTTCAGTTTAATGCCTCACCTCCCCACCCTGCTGAGGTAATTAAAGTGTTCCAAAGCCCCTTCAGAACTCAAAAATAGTTTCTGTTTGCCGGGCAGGTGATAAATCTCATTGAGTCTGACAGGAATTTAATTACACTTTCTTCATGAAAACACCAGTGATACCCATTACCTGGATCTCTATGGCTAAAGGCTTGCAGACCCCCCGCAGTTGAAAGGTTATGTACCAATAACAAGTTCTCCATCATTTAAATGGATGGGAGGCCTCCTTAGGGTAGCCAGCTTAAGTCAGACCAAAGAAAAATTGGTCTTAGACTTTGGGGAAAGTGAGATCGTTGTTTACTACTGCGCAGAAATAGCCCAGTCGGTTTGGATCCATTAATATCTTATTGAAGATGAAAAAAGTTTGTTTTTGTTTTTGTTTCTTGTAGACATCATTGCTCCACTCACTGAAGTGTTACCAGAGTAAGATGGAAGTGAGTATGTTGTTGATTTCTGGGATAAGTAGCCAAAGAAGTCCCGCAGAGAGGAGGGTTCTGAGCTAAAGGGCCACAGAGTGCGATGGCTTGCCATCCTGTTGAGGTCATTGCCGATTTGGTTAGAGAGAGGAAACTGAAGTACAGACTTCCGCTGGAAACCAGTGGGAAAACTTCATTTGACCTGCTATTTTCCTACTTATGGGGTGGGGGTGGCTCACTGCTTTTTGGAGTTTACTCTATCTTCTCTGAATGGCAAATTGTGCAAAAAGGCTGAGGTCAAAATGAAACACAACGCTGGACCTGGCAAGAGGTGACCTGGCTAGGTGTAGGGTCAAAGACGCAGCAAACCAAATGTCATTTACCCATTCAAATCAAATGAAAATTGCACTTGCACCTAGCTTAGAGACAGAGGGAAATCCCAGGGTCACCAAGGGCCAGACCTAGCCTTCCAGTCACCCTGGTCCTGGAAAGCTATCCCATCCAGAACAAATTCTTATTTATAAGTCCTTATTGCCAAGATCAACCCCTGACATTTTCTGCATGATAATTCCATTGCTTATTTAATCTCTTGACACCTAATTTCCTTCACCTTAAAAATATCCCACCTGTCGTTTTTCTCTATTAACTCCCTTTCCCCCTCTGGAGATTTCACATTTATTGAAATCCTTGGGAAGTAAGAAATGTCACAAAATTGGGGCTAGGAACAAACACTGAAATTGTAAAGGTGTTTGGCTCTGGTCTTGTTCTTAGTTCTTCTAAATGTAACTGCATGGATTTATCACTCCATGGTACAAAAACAGTAAGATTTTGTTGTGGGCTCAAACGGCTCTTACCTGGCACCGCTGGTAGCAGAACAGTCGTGGGCACTGCTGATTCTGCCACACGGTACCCTCTCATTCCCCTGCATGTGTGCATGCTTTTGTTTTTGTTTTGTCTGATTGAATTTGACGTTTGTGGGATATTTTTGCATGCTTTTATTTAGGTTAATTTTGTAATTTAGACATTGCTTTCTCCCTCTGCATCTGTGTTTTTCTTTTTGTTATTTTGTTATGTTTTGTTTTCACTAGGAGACCCCCTCCTGCAGTTCCAGGAAGACCATCCTAACCCCCATCATTCATCTCCTTTGTTTCCGACAACATGTCCATCTGTGGTATTTATAAGCCTTTCATTTGCACTAGATGTCATGTGTACATAAAAGCTTTATTTTTGATCCATGTCTATAATAAAAGATTTATTATATATATAGAGATAGATATATCTATATATATAAGGAAATACATTGTTTCTTTTATCTAAAGAAGACAAACTAAAGCAAGGGTTTATTTCTGCTAAAATCAGATAAAGTAGAAAATTCTTAATTTTAAAAAGCTAAAATGGAAAAAGATTGATTTTAAGTTTTTTAGAGCATTGTAATTTAAGATGCCTTTTGGTGGAGAATGATAATCTGTCTTCAACTGAAATGTCTGATAAAAGAATGAAAACATGTAGCAAAACCTATGAGTGACTAGAAAAGACACAGAAGACTAAATATTGTTATCCTGCCTCCCAGAGTCCCTTTGTAGGTATGAAACATAAACCTCACACATTATTTGGAAAAGCCAGTGAGTGGGGAGGGGGAACATATCAGCAAAGCAAAAAAAAAAAAAAAAAAAGTAGGCACAGTGAGAAGATTCTTATAGATGTCAGTAAGGCACTGAAGAAATGCAATCTATAAGTAGAAGTGGAAAAAAGATGTTTTTTATACCTTTATCTATAAATGGTGATTCCAACACTGCAACTTTAAGCCACTGTTCCATATATATTTAAAAATACCATTCATATATATGTCTTCTGACAATGTATTCAGATAAAATATTATTAAGATCATGCAAGACATCTTCCCAAATATGTGAAGTCTTTCAAAGGGTTGTGTTGTGATTTAGAATTATTTGAAGATTTAGCAAATCAAATGTGAATTTCTAAGTATCTACTCACAGATGAGATCACTTCGTGTCTGTCCTAGGCAAGCCCTGGCAAAGAGAGGCACTAGAGGAAGCGTGGTAGGACCCCCTAGTTCCAAAACATTCTTTTTTTTGGACCATACGATTCTTCTGAAGGAAGAGCTGCTTTCCACTAAAAAATGCAAACCCAGTTTTTTTCTCAGGTTAAGAATTTCTTGATAAGCCACACCGGTTTTTACTCATCGTGCACAGCCAGTGACTGCTGTAGCAGAGCTGATGGACCGTCGATAGAAGTTCAAGGGCACCAGGAGACTGGAGTTGAAGTACCATGATGGGACACACAGCAAGTAGGCTCTGCCCTTCAGCTCACCTCCAGGCCATGCGTTTGCTATTTCGATCAATCTCCCTATTGGGTAGATTCATGCCGGATTGCATTCTCATTCTAGCAGATACAATGTGCCTGGATAATTTCACCCCATCTTCTCACACAAAAAGAGAGGTTGTTTGTGGGAAGTTTTCACCAGTTCATCATTTCCAGGTGTTTGATACTTTCCATTTTATATACAGAGAGAGGTACACAGTGTTGATGCTGAAAACTTAACTTTTGAGCAATTCTTTGAGGAATGAAATGACTCACAGGTAACCTGATTAGTTCTCCTCAACAAAGAATCGTAGTCCCTTCCTCATATTCTATCATCTAGAAAAAGGGGGGACATAGGAGCAGAAAGGGAAGGAAACAGTCCAGAATAAAATCATACCATGCCAAGGTTTGTTAATACTTATTGTTTTATAGTGTTTATATGTTTCATATATTGCTTATAGTGTTCATATGTTTCTCCAGATCGCTCTACTTCAAACTCTACCCTAAATAATTTGAGAGTTGAAAACTTCAGCATGCTTCAGTCACTCATAACTCAGGATTATCAGGAGGAATAACTATGCCTCTAATAAATGTGGCATTTCTTAAAAATACGCCTCCCTTTATTGAGGTATCAATTTCTGAATTCATAATAATATCCTCATTACTGAGTATACCAAGAGAGAACAGGATCAGAGTAGCTACGAAATTGAAAAGTGAGTATAGTCCCCACTATGAGAGAAGAAAATGGGGGCAAACTTAATGACTTCAGTGCTCAAGCTGCTATGTGAGTTTTGGGACCACTTGGCCCAGCACAGGTTAACATTCCAGAACGTGGCGATTTTGACTTCTGACAAAGAAAGCAGTAACAGAACTCATTTCAGCCAATCAGAAGCCAAATTTTTCATAGCTAATGGAATAGTATAAAGTAAGAATAAGTCATTTAAGCATTTGTTGAGAAAAAGACAGATCTAAAGTCATCTGTTAATGTGATTTGTTTTCTAACAAGAAGACTAGATTCAGAAGGTGCTCTGTAGCTCGAGAAATCCGGGATATCTAAAAAATGGAGAAAAGAGAATTAAAGGTAGGAAAAAAACAAGCAAAACTCCCAATTCTTTCTTTAGAGGTTTCACAGGTAAGTAAATGTCTACAAACCTTGAGAATCACATATACACTGAGGAGTGTTTCAACAAATATCCTAGAGATTGAAAACCCAAAAGAGATAGGAAAAACCTTTAGTGTCTTTCTTTCTTTCTTTCTTTCTTTCTTTC